CGTTATTTTTAAGTTCGAAATCCATAAAATATTAAAATTTTAGCTCTGCCTTTACATTTACTAAGCATCTTATATTTTACTAATATTTTTTATCAATAGCCAAATTATTCTTTATTTTTGAAATTCAAGAATGTACACATTAATTTTTAGAAAAAAATATTGTACACTCACTCTTCCAAGATGGCATATAATTATCAATTACATATTTAAGGAAGAGATTACATTAATTTAGTCAAGATTACCCCTTATTTTCAATATTTTCTTGGACATATAAGGAGGACCATAGTAAGTACTATATATGTTTAGTCTTTGATGTTCTTATATTAATGAGACGCGGTTATGTTTTTGCACGTAGATTTCTGTGATTCAAAGTGCAATTTTAGGTGTTCAAAGGCAGGACGACAGGACAGATGCTTAAAGTATTGTGGAATATGTTGTGCAGACTGTCACTGCGTTCCTTCTGGAACTAGTGGAAACAAAGATGAGTGTCCTTGCTATAGGGACAAGAAAAACTCCAAGGGAGGGCCTAAATGTCCTTAAATTTACTTAATCTTTTCCTCAAATTGTTGTTTGTCAAATAAGGTTGATCATAATAATAATACTAAAAAAACAAACAAGTGAACAAATGAGGTTCTTTTATATATTTTATTTTATGTTGTTGTTAAATCTGCTGAACTTTTACAATTTGTTTGGATATTTATTAACTACGGTATTCCATAGTATTTTTATTTGAAATATAATATTTATTTTATTTGTTATTTAAATTTTAAGAAAAAGACATATGTATCTCATTCTATAACTCAACTTTTAGAGACAAATGTCCTCTATTATGATTGAAGGGTCTTAGTACCCTCGTAAAAATATTAAAATGAAATAAATAACATCCTAAGTATTGAGGTGCTTGTGCTGACTTTTTATTTTTACCGACGGACTCGTTTCAACGAAACACTAGAGGGAACATAGGGGCGTGGTGCGTATCAAATTATTCGATCAATCACATCTAGATACTTTGATTAGAACTAAAAATAAATTTGGAAAATTTGGGAGAAGAAACGAAAGGAACTTTGCTAATGACTTGTACCGGATATACTGTATATGAGCTTTTATTTATTGAATTGGGAAACTAACACTAAATAATTAAATTTACTTAATATCTAGGTTATGCTATTTATAACTATTTCTTTCTTATAAAATAAGTTACACATTCTAAATTAATTAGTAGCATGTCATTTTCTTGATACTTGATATATATTTTATAATGGCTCGAAGCACAAACAAATTTACAAGTTGAACATAATTAACTCTTTAATAAATTCCTTATTCTTTAATCGTAACATTTTCATATTTTTTAAAAATAATTTTAATTATTAAATTATTATAATTTAAAGTATTTGTTTTATGTAATTATCAAAAATGTAAATTTTAATTTCAAAAAATATTTTTTTTATATTTATTAAATATATAGTCAAAACTTAAAAGTTTGAATCTCGGAAAAATAAAAAAGGCTATAAAAATTGGGGCGAGGAGTAAAAAGCATCAACGTAATTTATAAATTGTATCATGTGCCTAGCTTTGTTATTAATTAAACTCCAATTTTTCAAATTAAATTAAGCATGTGATTAATATGGAGTCACGAAGGGAATTATGACTTATGAGTCACAAAATTGTAGAAAAGCTAACAATAAATCATGTGATTTGAGACTGAATTAAATTTAATGTAGAAAAATAAAAAAAATTGAGAATTTAAGCACTTAATTTATACTCTTTAATTTAATTAAATATAGAATTAATAACTAATAGCGAGCTATTAAAATACTTGAATAATTAAATCAAGTAATTTTGCCGGGCTACACCACGCGTCGTCATAAAGTGTTGCATCAAACATATAAATTAATCTTTTCACGTTTTATTATTTGAATATAAAAGAGTTTTGAGTTCAAATTAAATTAAATAGATTAAAATTCAAAAGTAAATCCATCTTATTATTCACATTAAACCAATTTCTAACAAATAAAATATGCTATTAAATGAAGGAAGGAAAAATACTTTTTCATTTTCCGTTAAATAAAAATTGATCATGTGACGACCCAAAATGAGTCATGAGTAACACTCACACTTAACCTCCTAGGTGGGCGAACCAACAAATCCAACCCCAACTTATATTAATTGTTCAACTTACTAAATACTAACCATAATGCGGAAGCTTAAATCTTATTAATGTAAGAAATACAAATCCACTAGTGTTTATTAAATATCGTTTCCCAAAACCTAAAAGTCATCACATCAAGGACATCTAAACCCCAATTATTAAGTCTAAGAATATCAAAGACACAAAAATAAATAAATAAAGTAATGGTGTGTCCGAAAACTAAGGACATCATGCCATGACCGAGAGAATCCAACATGAGTTTGAATGAATAGCTCACCCTAGAACCTGATATGCTTGAGACTGGATAGAGCTAAGGGAGGGTCAAAGTCCCTGGTACACTCGCTGCACTCCACAAAAGAAAATGAAGAGAAACACAAGTAGGGGTCAATATAGGGCAACATGTACTGAGTAGATATCATCGGCCGATCCAAAATAGAAACTAATATGCAATAAGTAATAGTATAAAACCAACTATAGCACTTAGCAGGTGGCAAGCAACAAACAATATGCACAAGTGACAACAACACCGAATCAAGTACGTAATCTGTCACAATATCAAACACACACACACGAGGACTCATACATCCACTCCACACACGAGGACTCAGTACAACACCGAAGCGGATACTGTGTTGGATCCTCTTACAAAAGGCTTAATTAGAGAGGTAGTTCAAAAATCATCAAAGAGAATAAGACTAAGACCGAGGAAAAATCATCATGGCATTAACTCTGCCTAGAAGTCTGGAGATCCCAAGATATAGGTTTAAGAAGATCAAACAAAGACATTGATGGCGATTCAACATTGCCAGAATAATTTTTATGGTTCATTCTCGTGATAAGACGACAATGTTCAACAACAATGATAAGACATTAACACCTTTTAATGATTTGTAAGTTTGATAGAAGGTATATCAAATGGTATATATACGGGATAACATATTTAGGAATCACCTATGTACGTGTGAAGTGTAAGCCGCTTCAAAGAAAATCTTGTAAGGCATGTTCTCTACGCACTTGCGAACCATAAAGTGCTCATGGCTGAAATGAGCAAACAATGAGAACCAAAAATAGTTAAAGGATTAACTGTGTGACTTATGTTGCTTATGTATACATCAAAACTCGATGATTCAAAGATATTAAATCTAACGATTGATGAGTATATCCGATATATGTTCGCCATGAAAAGTTCAAAAGAAACCCTACTTATCTAGATATAATTAATCATTTCTTAAGAATCACATACTTTTTTCATGCATATGTTTTAACAATAATCATTTCACATTCATGTGGGGGATTGTTGAGTTTTGTGTGAGGTGTAAATTGAAAAATGTTGATGTAATGTGAACTGGAAAATATGGGGGAATCAAGTGAAGAAAAAATGAAAAGTCATCTCTCCTTCATTGGTAGAATAGAGCAAAAATATTGTTTTTTATATTAAGAAACATTCCCTTGAGCTCTTAAAGGGTTAAGAAGAGAGTGCCCATCGTGTTGTTGTCATTGTCGCTCATTTAACTTCGATAATGTGATTGATTGATAATATTTTAGCCAAAATTTATTCATCATTCTCATTAATTAATTTTCTTTATCCTAATAATGCAGTCAAACCAAAACCTTCCGTCAACAATTTTGAGTCTAACAATAATAATTTCAAAATAATAATTCAATAATAATTTAATAATGAACTTCTTACTTAGGTATTAAAAAAATGGCCGACCATATCTTTTTTTCTTTGGTATTAAAGGTTATACTTATATTATTGGCATAATACATAAATAAGCTCTTTAATATGGTTTTAGATGACATCAATGCCCTTCAATTTTGGGTGTGCATAAATAAACACTTAAATTTGTATAAAATTGAACAAGTAGACACACACGTCCTATGTGATATAATACATGTAAGATGCCACATAGGACACAAAATTTTCATGTAGGACGCCGTATGATGAATGTGTCTATTTGTTCAAGTTTAAGTGTCTATTTGTGCATACATCAAAGTTGGAGGACATAGATATCAACTGAAGCCAAATTAAAGTGCATATTTATGTATTATTCTAATAATATAAGTATAATCTTTAATACCAAAGAAAAAAAAATATGTTTTGCCATTTTTTTAATATCCAAGTAAGAAGTTCATTAGTGTGTATTAAATTATTATTGAATTTTGCTTTGAAGTTATTATTGTTATACTCAATTGTTGACGGAAAGGTTTTGGTTGGACTGCATTAATATTTCTTCATCTACGATGGCTAACAAAAGTCTTTACTCTTGGACTTGTTTATTCTGTCTATTTCATTACGTTTTATTTTATGTTAAATACAAGATGAAGTGTGATTTTAAGTCGAACGCCACAAATCATCAATTAATTTGTCACATATCTTCACACAAATAATCAGACAGATTTATTGTCTACTTTTTTTTAGTCAGTATACACATATATACACATTCATACATATATTATAGATGGACTATATATATATTGTACGTCCACCAACTACTTTTAGTTTAATTAGTTGAGTGAATAACTATTTAAATTAATGCTTCGATTTGGTGGTCGTCTTGTCACCCTTGAATTTGGTCCTAGGCAATTCATGACCACATAAATACGATCTTCCTTACAATATATTCAGTTTTTTTTTTTTAAATTAAAAGATACCTTTTCCCTTAGCAGACTAATTTGAATAAAACTCACTAGAAATTGAAACACTATCACATGTGCTATATATAAATTTTGCTTACCTACTACATAAACATAATATCTATATCATAATTCCCCAAAATGCCCTCAACAACATATTATTATAAATTTAAAAAAGTGTATTTTTCTCTCTAAGGAAGAAGTCATATTAGCCATGTCTTTGATATGGGAAGTAGTAGTTGTAGTTACTATTGTGTCTGTGTTGTATGAGTTGCTAAATATACATAATAGAAAAAAGTTACCTCCAGGTCCAAGAGGGCTTCCCATTCTTGGACATCTTCATTTGTTAGGGAAAAACCCTCACCATGATTTTCAAAACTTAGCCAAGAAACATGGTCCAATTATGTATATGAGACTAGGACTAGTACCTAAAGGAGCAGAATACACAAGAGAAATGTTTTTTGTGTGTTTCATTGATACAATGTGTTGTTTAAATACAAAAGAATTATGTGGTAAAAGATCCCACAATATCAGTAAAACTAATGAATCCTATCAAGTAATTAAAGGTAAAGAATAAGAGAATATACAATAATGAAATCAGAATATATGATACTGATATGGAAAATATTTCATCTTCATTTGGCTTCTTTATGCCCCCGCAAGTTAGCGGGTGGTGGAACGACCCCTAACTTGGAGACAGCCCATTGAGTTTGGGCTTTGGATAAAGATTTCGTAAGTATGTCAGCTAGCTGATCAGCTGAGTGAACATGTACTAACCGGAGTTGTTGACGTTGGACTTGGTCCCTGACAAAATGGAAATCAATGGCTATGTGCTTCATTCTACTGTGGAAAACTGGATTTTGGCACAAGTAGGTGGTGCCAATGTTGTTGCAGTAGATAGTTGGTACATTATCAAGAGAGATACGAAGCTCTTTGAGAAGATTGGTAAGCCAATTTGTTTCTGCAACAGCATGAGCAACGGCACGATACTCTGCCTCAGTTGAAGATCGAGCGACTGTTCTTTGTTTCTTTGATGACCAACTGATTGGTGTTAAGCCAAGATAGATAACATAAGCAGAAGTAGAGGTACGATCATCGTGGTCCCCTACCCAATCTGCATCGGTATAAACATGAAGGGTAGCATTAGATCCATGGTGAAAAAGAAGCCCATGATGGATAGTTGATTTGAGATACCGAAGGAGGCACTTCACTGCTTGACAGTGTGTGTGAGATGGCTGATGCATAAATTGGGAGAGTGTTTTATTTAAAAGATATTTTAAGATTGTTTTAAGAGTCGCCACTTAATTTTTAAAGGGAAATTAAGAAAACTGTTGTTTTCAAGAGACTAAAACAGAAATCTAGTGAAAACTTTAAAAAGGGTTCGAGGTTCTTATTAACAGTCTAGGAAGGTTTTAAAAGCACCTAGAATGTCCACTAATGTGGTTATCCGACAATTAATTATTTGGCTAAAAATAATTTTAACTTAACTCATCTCGCAAAATTGAACTATTTTGTAGTCGAAACTATTTTAAAGGGGGAAAAAGAAAAATGTTGAAATACTATCTAGGTGAAATGTTTTGTAAGCTTATTCATCCACTTATTTATTTTTTAAGTCAAGTGAGAAACGGCTAGTTTAGTTAGGTGATTAATTCAAAATGGGCGTCTTTTGGAATTTGAATATTTTCGACCTTAAGGTTAACAATAAATATTAGCAAGCAAAACAAAACAGAGTAAAGTAGAGAGGGAAAGAGAATTGGGCCCAAATCTGGTTTCTGTTCGCCTGGACCAGTATTTGGGCCTATTTCGTTTTAGGCCAAAGGCCCATTTGAGTGACGCCTGTCCAAAATTAAAAGAAATAATTTTCTTTGGGCCTTTGGCCCATCCTCCACCTGTCCTAAACTTTTAACAAAATATTAATAATTAAAAGACAAGGGCTTAGGCCCAAAAATAACAAAATACAATTTTTGTATAAGGAGTGGGCCTTTGGCCCAATCTTTTCAATTCTTCTCTGCTTTCGCATTTTTCCACCTTCGAGACCTGTTCGTCGATTTTTATAGGCCGGATGACTCGAAAAAGGATTGGTCCTCCGTGGCCCAACAAGAAAATGCGAGAACAGAGTCCATGAGGACTCGGGCAGATTTTACATGCATAAAGGAGATAAAATTAGCATACGACTCAACCAAAATGGACAGAGAAAAGAATATGCCGCATCACGCGGGCAAAGAAATGAGATATATATATATATATATATATACACTATCATGTAATTAAGAGAAATTGTATAAGGCCAAACAGAAAGCTAAAAAATGAAAAAAAAAAATAAAAAAAAAAGGCTAAAGAACATGATGACCATTCAAACTTAATGAATTAACATGGCTGCTAGCAAAAGGCATTATGACGATCAAAAGCAAACCTCACTTAATTACTATATTCCAAAATAGGCAATATCTTTTGCGGAAGTTAAGTAAATGTGAGCTAACATGAAACCTACAGGCGTTACTAACATATGTATAAGCTAGAGAGACCGATGGAATAAGCTAAGAGTAAAGCATGATAGGCAAATCTCACATACTACCTCTTTAAAGAAAATGGCACACTTCGACATTAACAAATTTAGTACAGCGAGCACTTAAACAAAGGCAATTTTTTAGGAATAAACTCATACTTAAGTCACAAACATACACACATGAATGCTATTGTAGTCACACCGAGAAGCAGATATACGATACACAAGTTACTTATTAGCTAGCCCTAAGACTCCAACTTCATTTTTATTTTATTTTATTGAAAGGGAAATAACATTCACAGTAGTAAAGAAAAGGGAACTTTATATGCTAATAGGCCAGAATACCAAGAAAAATATATAAGAATATTCAGTGACAAATTAGTAAGTGAATACGAGATAGTGATAGTTAAATAGTCTTAAAATGAACACCAAGAGACAGTGAAATCGAACATGAAACAAACATCAACATCACAGATATATTAGGGATTTCATGTGAACGAAATGAACCCTTTAACATGATAGCTAACTAAAAAAAATAAAATAAAATAAAATAAAATAAAAAATTGAAGACTCATACGAACAACAACACTTAGGGTGTGTTTGGTATGAAGGAAAACATTTTTCGGAAAATGTTTTCCAATTTTCTCATGTTTGGTTGGACTAAATGTTTTGGAAAATGTTTTCCAAATCAACTCATTTTCCTCAAATTTAAGGAAAATGACTTCCCTTCTAAACTTAAGGAAAACATTTTCCAAAACTCTCTTCCAACTTCAAATTACAATTATTTTTTATTGAAAAATCAATTTATTCCTCAAACCACCCCCCAACCAACCCCTCCCCAAAAAAATAAAAAATTTAAAGTTTGTTTTTAAATTCAATTTTTTTACCCCGACCTCATCCCTACCCCCACCCCCTCCCAAAAAAATATTAAAAATTATTTTTAAAAAATATTTTCAATTTCAAAATTTCATTTTTCCACCCCTACCCTCGACCCCACCCACCCACCCCCTACCAGCCGCCCCACCCCCAAAAAAAATAAAAAAATTCAAGTTTGTTTTTAAAAAATATTTTCAATTTCAAAATTTTATTTTTTCACCCCTACCCTCGATCCCCACCCACCCACCCCCTACCAGCCCCCCCACCCCCACCCCCAAAAAAAATAAAAAATTTCAAGTTTATTTTTAAAAAATATTTTCAATTTCAAAATTTCATTTTTTCACCCCTACCCTCGATCCCCACCCACCCACCCCCACCCCCAAAAAAAAATAAAAAATTTCAAGTTTGTTTTTAAAAAATATTTTCAATTTCAAAATTTCATTTTTTCACTCCTACCCTCGACCCCCACCCACCCACCCCCACCCCCAAAAAAAAATTTAAATTTCACGTTTGTTTTTAAAAAATATTTTCAATTTCAAAATTTCATTTTTTCACCCCTACACTCGACCCCCCCCCCTTCACCCACCCCCTACCACCCCCACCCCCCAAAAAAAATTTAAGTTTGTTTTTAAAAACTATTTTCAGTTTCAAAAATTATTTTCTACTCTAATAAAAATAAAAGATATTTCTCAAAAATATTTTTCATTCATAAATCAAACACTAAATATCTTTTCCGAAAAATATTTTCTACTGACCAACCAAACATGAGAAAATAAGTCAAAAATCAACTTGTTTTCCTGGAAAACATTTTCTAGGAAAACATTTTCCTTCATACCAAACACACCCTTACAAGAGCACATTTTATATCTCAAACGAACAAGGAGCTGACTCTAACTCAATCACTAGGCTACGACATAAGCCAATAATCGAGCAAAACAAAGTCAGTCGAGAGAGGAAGGAGAAAGATAAATCAGTAAACAACCTCAACATCATTGAAACAATACATTGACTAAAGAGTTGGAATCGACAACGGAGTTTACCTTCTTGTGTGCAGCGAACGGGAACGGGGTGAGCGACGAGCTGACCTTTCTACCACGAGAACTCGAACGCGAACAACGGGTAAGGAATTTGAGTCGACGACTGAACCCAAACACAAAAAAAAACTTATTGTATCCTCCACCTCCAAAATGTATTTCTAGCTTTTTAATACTAATGTTCAAGCCCTTTCTTTGAATTGTTTCTACTAAAGTGAAATCCAAAAAAATTTCTCCCTATTTTCAAAACGTATTCAGTATCAAAAATTCTGCCCAAACTCTCTTTTGTTTTTTCGCTCAAAAAAAGAAAAAGTAAAAAATCCCACCCTCTTGCCCCTTTTTTACAATGAACCAAAAGAGAGTCTATATGGAATGGAATTAGGGCAGAAAAAAGTGGGGATCAGGCGGGAATCTCCTTTTTTCCGGATGAGAACAAGGCCCATTAAATCAAATTTCAAAATCTTTTCACCAATTCGGTGAAGCACCTTCTTCTTGCGATTTTCACCCATTCCGAAAGAGGAAAGGGAAATCGACGCTTGGGATCAAAGACCATGTCCTTGGGCAGCGAGGTGGCCTCATCTTGCACCCCCAAGGACGAAAATGCGTGCTTTTGCTGCTGTTGTGCCTGCTGGAACGGTACTGGGCTGCTTCGCGTTGAGAAAAGGAAGAAAAAAAAATAAATAAAATGCAGGGGTCTTTGGGATTGTACGCTGTACGTATTAGCGTTGAATTAGAAGGGAAAAGGGGATGGGGTCGGGTCAAGGGAAAAGAAACGGGCTGGGGCGTTTTGGGCTGGGATATGGTGTAGTGTTGACTGAAAATTGGAGGAATTAATGGGCTGGAAAATGATGGGGTTGGGTTGGAATTAATTGGTTGGGCTGATTTGGAGCATAATTTGGGTTGGAATTAAATGGCCCAATTTTGGTCTTTAAAAAGAATTGAATGCAAGGTGGGAAAAGGGTTAGAATTGTAATAAAATGGCTAGGTTTTGAATTGAGGATTTGGCCAAAAGAATTGCAATTATAATCGATTAGGATTACGAAATTAACCAAATCAGATTTACTTGGAGAATGTGGCCGAAAAATATAAATAAATGAGATGAATTTAATATTAATTAATTAACGAGCTTCTTGTTCTTAACGAAATAAAATAATTAACTTGATAATAATATAATTAATTTAAACATGAACTAATTAATTCAAAATCGTAATTATGATTTAAATTAAACTAAGTTAGTAAAACACTTAGCTAAAAAGAAATAAAAATCTTTTGATATGATTTTCAAATATTTATAAAATATACTAATTAGACACATAATTATATAATAATTAACTTAATTATAAACTAGTTAACTCGAAATATAAGTTATTAATTAATTTAAACCAAATAGCCAAATATTTAAATAAAACTAAAATCGTTTTGAGGCAATTTTCGAACATTCAAAAAATATACTAATTAGACACATAATTATATAAAACATATTCATTAAAAAAAATTATAACAAGTGACAAACTATTTAAAATAACTTGCAAACTATATACATATATTTTTTCAAAATTTCTAAAAATTAATTATTCTAAATCGTTTTGAAAAATTAAGAAGTTCAGAAATTAATTATTATCGGGGAGGGTCGAAATTGAGTGTCAACAGAGAGCTTATTAACAGCAAAGCTTATGTCTGGTCTAGTAAATGCAAGATACTGGAGCTTGCCAATTGCACTTCGATATTGTTTTGCATCTGTAGGAGGGGAGCCATCATTCAGCCTAAGTGAAATCGTGGTGGATAATGGTGTAGAAACACCCTGGCAGTCCTGCATAGAGAACTCCTGCAAGATGTCCATTATGTACTTGGTTTGAGAAAGAAATAATCCAGCTGATTGTGGAAGGACATCAATGCCTAGGAAAAAATCCAGATGTTGCTAATAGTTTGCAAGTTATTTCCTGTAATAACAATATCATCTACATATACAAGCAAGAAAATGACAGTGTTATGAGAGTGTAAGGTAAATAAAGAGTGATCAGAATGAGTCTTGTGAAATCCAGCAGAAATGAGAAAATTCGTGAACTCGATGTACCAAGCACGGGGTGCTTGTTTGAGACCATATATGGCTTTGTTTAGTTTGCATACATAGTTTGGGTAATCAGGATTCTCAAAACCTTTCGGTTGTTTCATAAAGACTTCCTCAGTCAGTGTACCTTGTAGAAAAGCATTGTTTATGTCTAGTTGATGGAGTGGCCATTTGTTTTGTGTGGCGATGTCAAGTACTGTTCGAATGATTGTTGGTTTGACAACCGGACTGAAAGTATCAATATAATCGATTCCAGGCCATTGATTGAAACCTTTGGCAACAAGGCGAGCCTTGTACCGTTCAATTGATCCATCAGGTTTGCGCTTAATACGGAAGATCCATTTATTCTCCACAATATTTTGGTGATCAGATGGAGGAATAAAGTTCCATGTTTGGTTGCTCATGAGAGCGTCAAATTCACTTTGCATAGCTTGTCTCCATTGTGGGTCCTTACAAGCTTGTTTAACTGTGACTGGTGGTATTTGGGATGTAAGGGTGGCCATGGATGCATACTTTGGATTAGGCTTAGTGATTTGATGTTGGGAGCGGGTGACAGGGCGTCGTGGTGGTAAAGACTGGTTGGTCTGAGAAGGGAGGTTAAGTTGTGGTAAGTGCTGCTGCTGGGGAAGGGAATTAGAAGGGGGAGTTGTGGACGATTCAGCAGTAAAAAATGAATTATCTAGAGGGGAGGAAGTTACCTGATTTCGTCGGATTGCTGGAAGTTCTGACGGAGGACGCACAACTATTGCTGGTGCAGTAGAGTCACTTGGAAAAACAACCAAGTTTGGATCTTCGATTGGAAGTGGACTTCTTAGAGTAATAGGAAAAGATATTGTATGATCTGGACAAGATAGAGTAGAGGAAGATGTATCTGAATCGGATGTGGTATTAAACCAGAAAATATTCTGAGGGATTCCCTTGTACTTGGAAAAAATATTTTCATAAGAAAAAATATCTTCCAAAAATTTTACGTCTCTGGAGAAATATATTTTTGAGGATTCAGGATCAAAGCATTGATGACTATGAAAGTGAGTGGAGAATCCTAAATAGACACATGGTGTGGATCTTGGTTCAAGTTTATTTTTAGTATATGGTTTTAGCCAAGGATAGCATAAGCAACCAAACGTAAAAAGTGAGAAAATATTGGGAGCTGTACCAAAAAGAGCTTGATATGGAGAAATATTATCTGAGGATGTAGGAAATCTATTAATTAAGTAAACAACAGTTTGACAAGCAAAACTCCAAAATTGGGGTGGTAGTGATGCTTGGTGAAGTAGGGTTCTAGAAGTTTCGATAATGTGCCTATGACGTCTTTCAGCTAAGGCAATTCTTTGTGGGGTATATGGGGGAGAGGATAAGTGTTGAATCCCAAATTCAGCAAGAAGTAATTTTAGTCCCTTAAATTCTCCTCCCCCATCAGAATATAAGGTGAGAATCTTAGTATTGAAAAAGTTCTCAATGAGTGGCTGAAATTCAGAGAAGACCTTGACTACATCACTTTTTTGTTTAAGTGTATAGAGCCAAATATATTTGGTAAACTGATCGACAAAAATGACGTAATAGCGCTTTTGATCAAGGGATAGAACGGGTGAAGGACCCCAAACATCGGTATAGAGTGTTTCAAATGGTCTTGAACTTTGCAATGAGTTACGTGAGAAAGGAATCCTGTGGCTTTTATTGCAATGACATGAATTACAAGATTGAAAATTATCAAAATAAGGCAACTGGTAATTTCTTAAAAGAAGCTTCAAAAGACGGATATTAGGATGTCCTAAACGACGATGCCATAGAGATAAAGGAACTTGAGAAGTATTTGCCGTGAAGGCTGTAGAAGATGAATGTGTTGAAGTCGCAAACGTTGGCCATTCGTACAAATCATCTCTATTCCGGCCTTGTAATAGTGATGCCCTCGTAGTCAGTGCCTTCACAACAAAAGAGAAAGGAAAGAATTCAATAGATGTTTGGTTTTGTTGACAAAAATTTGAAACAAATATAAGATTTTTTTTTATAGATGGAGTACACAGAATATTATGTAAAGAAAAAGAATGTATGGGAGAGTTTAATGTAGTGGAACCAGTGTGGGTGATCGAAATACCGTTACCATCACCCATTAAAACTTGTTCAGGACCCGTGGATTCATGTGGAGAGGCAATGTTCTGAGAATCAGCAGTGATATGATGTGAGGCACCGGAATCCAGAATCCATGGAGCAGTATTGGGAAAAGACCGAGCAGCAAACATGGCCTTAGCGTCAAAATGGTTATGCGACTTGGAACGACAAACATTTGCAGTGTGACCAAATTTTTCACATAACTGACATTGGATTTGCATGTTGGCCTGCATAGGAATAGAGGGACGCCATGGCTGGGAAAAGTTTCCATTGCTTTGAGTGTGGGGGGTACGCCATTGTTGCGTTCCAGAAGGAGTAGTTTGTGAACGCCATTGAGGCTGACCAGACCAGCGGCGAGTTTGCCTGTTGCTATTGTTATTGTGATTATTTTTTCTCTGTGCAACTTGAGCAGTGATTGGAGTTGGTGGTTGCTTCTTATCAGTTTGCTTTAGATAAAGTTCATGATTCGTGAGCTTGTGAGCCAATTCCTCATATGAAATAGGAGAGTCTCTTGAATGAATAACAGTACTTAAAGCCTCATATTCAGGTCCAAGGCCACTCAGAATTTTTACAACCAACGCTTCATTAGAAATGCGAGCACCGGCAGCAGCTAATTCATCAGTGATAGTTCTTATCTCCCTGAGATAATCAGTGACAGATTTTTTATCTCGCTGAACTTTCGCCAATGCATCTCGAAGACTGTAGATCCTGGTTTGAGATCTATTTGCATATGTAGTATGCAAATAGTCCCATGCTTCCTTTGAAGTTTCAGCAGAGGCAACTAATGGTGCAATGGTGGAGTCAACAGAGCCATTAAGGCGTTGCAGATGAGATTATCTTGCTGAAACCAGATTTTGAAATCTGGATTAACGATATCTTGTGTGTCTTGCTTAATAGTGCGTGGTGGCGGCGTTATGGATCCATCGAGATAGCTCATTAAGTTAAACCCATTCATGACCTTTTGAATTTGAGCTTTCCATGTTGCAAAGTTTGCACCACCAATAAGTTTGATTGGAAGTTGTGCAGTTGGGTTGATGTTAATGATTTGCGTTTTGGTTGAAGCAACATTCACAATTGTGGATGAAGTGTTGATTGGGTCATCACTGTTCAAATTGATGTCCGAAGCAGATGAGTTCACCATTGTTTTTAGGTGGTTTGGAAAGGAAAGGAAAAAAAAATGAAAAAGATGGGAAGATGATTACAAGTTTATACTCGTTTGAGTGTTGATAGCTCTAATACCATAAAGGAGCAGAATACACAAGAGAAATGTTTTTTGTGTGTTTCATTGATACAATGTGTTGTTTAAATACAAAAGAATTATGTGGTAAAAGATCCCACAATATCAGTAAAACTAATGAATCCTATCAAGTAATTAAAGGTAAAGAATCAGAGAATATACAATAATGAAATCAGAATATATGATACTGATATGGAAAATATTTCATCTTCATTTGGCTTCTTTAGTACCTACAATCGTTGTCTCGTCTACTGATGTAGCTGAGAAAATCCTCAAGACGTATGATCATATCTTTGCTAATAAGCCTCATAACGAGGCAGCTCATTATTTGGCGTATGGACAGAAGAATATTATATTTGCAAAGTATGGACCATACTGGAGAAATATGCGTAAATTGTGCACTCAACATCTTTTGACTAATCAAAAGATCAATTCATTTCAATCCTTGAGAAGACAACAAGTTGAGCTTATGATCAAATCACTTCAAAATGAAGGTCGTGTTGTTGTTGATCTTAGTGAAAGAGTCGCGTCCTTGAATGCTAACATGACTTGTTTGATGGTGTTTGGAAAGAAGTATATGGACGAAGATTTAAAGTTGTACTTCAAGAAGTTGTTCATTTAGCTGCAGTAACTAATCTTGGAGATTTTTTCCCCTTTCTTGGTGTAATTGATCTCCAGGGACTCACACGCCGACTCAAGGATCTTTCAAAGGTGTTTGATGAGTTTCTTGAGAAGATTATCAATGAACATGTCGAGTCTCATGATAAAAATCAATCCAAAGACTTTGTGGATACGTTGTTGGACATTATGCAATCAGGAAAAATGGAATTTCAGTTTGATCGTATCCATATAAAAGTTGTCCTCTTCGTATGTTATTTCATCCTTCTAATAATAATGATTAAATTTGTTCGTACTAATTTCCCCTGTTTCCTTTTTTCTATAACAGGACATGATTGTTGCAGCAATTGACACTTCAGCAGCATCAATAGATTGGATACTAACATAGCTTCTTAGACACCCTCATGTGATGAAGAAACTACAAAACGAGTTAGAACAAGTGGTAGGCCTTGAAAGAATGGTAAAAGAATCCGACTTGGAGAATTTGAAGTACTTAGACATGGTTGTAAAAGAGGGAATGAGGCTACATTGTGTAGTGCCAGTAACGCAACGTGAGGCCATGAAAGATTGTGTAGTTGATGGCTTCAACATACGAAAGGGAACACGAATCATGATAAATCATTATGCAATTCAGAGGGATCCAAATGTTTGGTCCGAACCTGAGAAGTTTATGCCGGAGAGGTTTATTGGGAGCAGTGTAGATGTTCGTGGACGTGACTTCCAACTTTTACCATTTAACTCTGGCAGAAGAAGTTGCCCTGCAATACAATTGGGGATTATCGTTGTCCGCCTTGTCGTTGCGCAATTGGTGCATTGCTTTGATTGGGAGCTTCCAAATGATATGCGGCCTTGTGATTTGGACCTTGAGGAGCACTTTGGAATAGTAACATCCAAAGAAAAATATTTAATGGCTATTCCTACTTATAGACTAAATGAACAATGAAAATACAAGTTTTCATTTAGATACCACGATTGTACTTTTGAAAGTTTCTATCGGATTCTACTTTTATGATTTTTGTATGCTTCACCTATAGTGATAGGGTCTTTGAAAACCGTCTCTCTACCTCCACGAGGTACTGATAAGGTCTGTGTACACTCTACCCTCTCCAGACCCCACTTTATGGAATTTCACTGAGTATGTTGTTGTTCTTCACCTGCAGTAATAATACATATTAGATTTTCTGGTTAATCCTCATTATACTTGTTCAGACTGACATAATTTGGACTAGTTTTATTTTATCTGTTTTGTTGAATTGTACATAAAGGTATAATACATAAATATGTCATTTAATTGGACCACATTTCATATTTATGTCTTTCAATTTTTGGTGTGCATAAGTAGATATTTAAACTTGTATAAAGTTGAACAAATAGACACGCGTGTCCTGCGTGACATCCTACATCACAATTTGCATTCTAAATGGTGTCCTACATGTATTATACCACATAGAACTCATGTGTCTACTTATTCAACTATTTATAATCTAAGCTGCTATTAAAATTGGGTACTTAGTTTACATATATACACTAATTAGTACTATGTTTCCTATATAAAATTTGTGTTGATTCCAAAATGTATAGACCCATCGTTGAGTTTATTAGTCAATACTAACGGAGTAGGTAGGAGGAGAAGGTATGAGGACAAAATATATTTAGTAATTGGTCAAAAAATTTAAAAAGAAGTTCATGAATCTCATCTCATATACGAAAGGGAAAAGGGTAAAAAATGCCCTTAAACTATGTGAAAGGAAAGAAAATGCCCTTCACTTATAGTTTGGCTTAAAAATCCCCTTACCGTCAATACTTTGGTCCACAAATGCCCCTATAGTTACAAAATGGGTCAAAAATGCCCTTTTCCGAATAAATATATATATTTTTCTTTTTAAACACATCTTCTTCCTAATTAAAATATTATTAAAGAACATTGTTCTTGTTTTCTTTCTTCTAAAATCACTATAACAAATAAAAACGTAGGAAACATTTTTTTTCTTCTTAATTTCATTTTATCAATTAAAATAGAATAACTTCACATACCCTTTCGACATAAAATATATGTCATATATAAGATTAAACTATATCCATCATTAATTTATAATATATAGCGATAAAAAATAATGATAATAAAATAAGAAATATTTTAATATTTTATTTTTTTTCTGAATTGAAGTAGGATAAACATTTGCTAATTTTTTTTAAAAAAACATTATTAGAAAAAGAATGTGTTAAAAAAATAATAATATATTTATTTGAAAAATAAGCATTTTTTTGGACGGGGTGGGAAGGGGGTGGCCATAGGGGTGAGGGTGATGTAAAGAATGAATTTTTTAAAATTTGAAATATTTTCAATTTTTTTTTCTTAAAAAATTTGACGGGCCCTGAGTGGGGGGTAGTGGGAGTTTAGGGGTGGTTTGGGGGTAGGGGGATGTTTTGGAGGTAGGGTGAAAAAATATTTGCAATTTAAAAAATCAGAAAAAAAAAAAATTGTGGATGGGGAGGGTCGGGTAAGGGGTATGGGGTAGGGTAAAAAAATATATTGTAATTTAAGAATGAAATAGAGTTTTGGAAAATGTTTTCCTTAATTTTGGAAGGGAAGTCATTTCCTTAAATTTGAGGGACAAAAAAAATGTTTTCCTTAATTTTAGAAGGGAAGTCATTTCCTTAAATTTGAGGAAAATTAGTTGATTTGGAAAACATTTTCCAAAATATTTAAGCCTATCAAACATGAAAAAATTGGAAGGAAAATATTTTCTTTCATGTCAAATACACCCTTAATAAGTAAGGTTTAGGTGAGTGTCACCAAATTAGAAATTGTGTAAAAAAAAATTATGCTAGGACTTAGTGCATTTTCACCTGAGCAACGCTCTTGTGTTTGTGAATGGCGATATCTTTAAGGACAGGGCTTTGCATAACAGCATGGTTGCCCCATGAAGGTATCCCATTTGCTCTAAGTGGAGACCATGCACTAACATTAGAAATTTAAAAATCAACTAAATTGGTTAGATTTTGATTTTAACTAATAATCGATTCAAACTGAATCATGAACACCCCTAATAACAACAATAGATAACAATAAATAGCAGTATAATCTTCTTAACGGTGATATGAGCATTAATTTACTTACTCGGTTATCAACTTAAGTGTCTTAAATTTTGTGGGACATAAATTAAATAAAGATGTATATAGTCATTTAAATTTCATTATCTTAAACTTGTCAAATAAAATATTAAAATTGAAAATTTTATTAAATATAAAGGACTCTTTTTGGGTCAAAATAAAAAAAAGGAAAAAACATAAATTGGAATATGGGGAGTATATCACAAATTGACCGTTGAGCAAACTCACACATATGATCAAGTACTACCAAGAAAAACAGAAGAAAAGTAGTTACCCAAGAGTTCTTTTTAAGGCAGAACAAAGTCGCGATGTGTTTCCGTGCACCATAATTTATGAGTCCGTGTTGTATCGCTTCCGCCACTGCTTGGCCAAGTGCTTCCTCAGAGCCATAGGCAGCGGCTGCGTTAAAGTGACGATAACCAATTTCAATGGCATCTATGAGTGTTGACACTAATTGATCATGTTATGGTAAGGAAGGTGCTGTTCAGAATTTCATGACCAGAATTCAGATTCACATTTGACACTAACATTTGCTTCATGTTCATAGCCATGACCTAAAATGAATAAGTGGTAATTACTAATTAGAGGTGTATATATACCAACAACGTTCCACCTGCAACCTAAAATAGGTTTTAGGAAGTTTGTTTGGCGGGTCCGTTCGAAGATATTATAATATAATTGGAAAGAAAATTATGTACTCATCCCCATTTTCTTCTATCTACTTTTATTTAATTATTTGTTTATTATACTACAAGTAAATGTTTTATTTTATAGATTAAAAAATGATCCTGATATTAATAAATCACGAGCAAGTTAGATTGGGATTCCCAATGACAAGCGAATGGACATTTCCGGGTCTAGAACAAACAAAAGAAGGGAAAGCCGGGTGATTGAGACAATTTAATCCATTTTCACAAAAGTACGAAGCTTCAAATGAAAGAACTTTATTTTCTGTATGGGAGGGTGAAAGTTAAAGAAGGATGTTTCCAAAGATGCAAAATAAATAAGGTGTGTAAGGCAGGACCAAAGAAGGTAGCATCCACTTCTTACTTAATGGTTAGATCCGAATTCTATAATGGAGCTCAAAATCAAATTGGTTTGGGAGTCAATCTTCTCCGTCTTTATTGACTCAAAGCTCTTGATTTTTTTGTTCTATTTCTGTAAGAAGATTCTTTATAGTATGGAATTATAGTGCTAACACTATTGTCATTAAAAGGATATAAGTCAACAGGACAAATAATGACAGACTTGCGTAGATAGTTGTTGTGGACATATACCAAACTAATCTTTTCTCTTGTTGAAGTGATATATAGTGATTAACGTATAGTGGAGGTTGTCTACAGTGATCCTTTCAAGTTCAACCATGACACTTACCATTATTGGGATCGAAAGAATTATGGTGTCGTGTAGAAGCTTATAATTAAAAATTATGTTGGTGATAAATTAGATGACAAATAAAAGTATATTAAAAATATCTGATCAAGCAACCTACATATTATAATTGTAAAAACATAAACAGTCTCCCCATAAACAAAATTCTCTAAACGATTACATTGTGAATGTTATTGTTGTTCTAGTATGAGAAGAGGAGCTGGTCTTCAATTTATAGAGTTCTAAATTTTTCCTCCAAGAAAGGAATAACCCAAATATGAAAGAAAATTATATTTTCTTTTCAGAAAAAATGAAAACATTTATTGTAATACTTTGACTTTCCTTAAAAAAAATAATTCAAATAAGATAAGAAAATTAGGATAAAACTCAAATCATCATAATTTGAACAAGTATTAATATTTATCAATCGTTCAAAAGATAATTGACACACGTCATATTCTGTGATTTAGTGTCCCAAACTTGCCACTTATATTGAATAATTTAATTTCCACAATTATTCAGCTTCGGTCTTTTTTGTCAATGTATGTCCAATAATTCAATAATCCCCAGCTTTATCATATATATAGTCTACTTTGCATCTGCATTGATGTATTCACATCTTGAATAGATTTTGATATTGAAATACAAGTATATAAATAGAAATTGATATAAATCTAAAACTAATAATAAAACCTTCATAGAAATGCATCTTAATGTAAGAGAATATTTGAGAGAAATGATACTCTCCTTTTAAGTTAAAAATAAAAGTTGGTTGAAATGGATGAGATAATTATCATAGTTATTTTTTAAAAAATATTGAGACCAATGCGAAAAAATGAATGATAGACTTTGATAGAAGTTAGTTAAAGAGTACTCTCTTCATTTAATTTAGTTGTCATACATTCTTTTTTAGTATGTTATATATTTGAAAATTATGTGAAAAATAATATAAATTATAATAATTAATAACTTAAAATATTTATTTATATATTTAAAATCATGTAAAAGCACTATAAATTACAATAATTAACAACTTAAAATATTTTTAAAATATATAAACATTTGATTAGCTCTCAAAATTTTATAAGTGTCACATAAATTGGGGACAGAGGAAGTAAGAACAATTATTTGAAAATTACATTAAAAAATTATATATCACAATAAATCACAATTTAAAAGCCATATAAGGAATTTGGTTGGCTTTCCAAATTTCATTTGTACCTCATAAATTGAAAGATATGAAGTAACATAACATATATTATTTGAAAATAGCATAGAAATTATCACTACTCACAATAACTAATAACTTCAAATATTTAAAAATATATACAAAAAAATTGTTCTCCAAATTTCATCCTTGTAATAAATTAGGACAAAAAAAGTAACATATATTGGCTCGTGCTCCTACATTTAGTCCTCGATAGAGGAGTTCATGCTAATATAGACAAATTATATGTTACTCCTTTTGTCTAAATTTATGTGACACAATGGAATTTGGATAGTCA